TATGGTATTTATCCAAAAACATGTCCATTTATTTTACAGTTTCCAATTTTGTGGCATACAGGCTTTTGTAGTAAGACCTAATGATTCTTTGAATTTCCTCAGTGTCTGTTGTCATGTCCCCATTTCCTTTCTGAGCTTGTTATTTTGGGTGTTCTCTCTCTGCATTTTGATTAGTTTGGATGGGGTTTGTCAATCTTATTGATTTTCTCAAAGAACCAGCTCTTTGTTTCATTGATTCTTTGGATTGTTTTCTGTGTTTCTATTTTGTTGATTTCAGCCCTCAGTTTGATTACTTCCAGTCTTCTACTCCTCCTGGGTGAGTCTGCTTCTTTTTCTCTAGAGCTTTCGGGCGTGCTGTTAAGTCTCTAATGTGAGCTTTCTCCATTTTCTTTATGTGAGCACTTAGAGCTATGAACTTTCCTCTTAGCAGTGCTTTCACAGTGTCCCATAGGTTTGGGTATGTTGTGTCTTTATTTTCATTGAATTCAAGGAAGACTTTCTTTATTTCTTCCTTGACCCAGGAATGGTTCAGTAGTTGACTGTTCATTTTCCATGAGTTTATAAGCCTTCTGGGGGTGGAATTATTGTTAAATTCTAACTTTACTCCATGGTGATCCAATAAGACACAGGTGGTTACTCCATTTTTTTCTTTTGTATCTGTGGATGTTTGCTTTGTTACCGAGTATGTGATCAATTTTTGAGAATGTTCCACGAGATGCTGAGAAGAATGTATATTCTTATTTGTTTGGGGGGGAATGTTCTATAGATGTCTGTTACATCCATTTGATTCATTACATCTGTTAGTTCTCTTATTTCTCTGTTAAGTTTCTGTCTGGTTGTCCTGTCCATTGGTGAGAGAGGAGTGTTGAAATCTCCTACTATTAGTGTATAGGGTTTGATGTGTGCTTTGAGTTCTAGAAATGTTTCTTTTACATATGTGGATGCTGTTATATTAGGGGCATAGATATTCAGGATTGAGACTTCATCTTGATGAATTGTTCCTATTATGAGTATAAAGTGTCTTTTTCCATGTCTTCTGATTGATTTTAGTTTGAAATCAATTTTGTTAGATATTAGGATAGCCACACCTGCTTGTTTCTTAGGGTTGTTTGATTGGAAAACCTTTTCCCAATCCTTTACTCTGAGGTAGTGTCTGTCTTTGAGGTTGAGGTGTGTTTCTTGTAAACAGCAGAATATTGGATCCTGTTTTCATATCCATTCTCTTAACCTGTGCTTTTTTATAGGTTAATTGAGTCCATTGGTATTAAGTGATATTAATGACCAGTGGTTGTTAACTCTGGTTATTTTTTTGGTGGTAGTGTTTGTGTTTCCAATTTTCGAGTTGTGCTGGTGGAGGGTTGTCAGATGTCTGTGCTATTTGGTGTTGTTGGCTTCCTTGGGTTGTGGCTTTCCTTCTAGTATTTTCTTAAAGGCTGTGTTTGTGGATACATATTGTTTAAATCTGTTTTTGTCATGGAATATCTTGTCTTCTCCATCAATGGTGAAAGAAAGTTTTGCTGGGTATAGTAGTCTGGGCTTGCATCCATGTTCTCTTAGTGTCTGCAGCACATCTATTCAAGACCTTCTGGCTTTCATGGTTTCCATGGTGTAATTCTGATAGGTTTACTTTTACATGTTACTTAACCTTTTTCCTTTGTAGTGCTTAATATTCTTTCTTTATTCTGTATGTTTTGTGCTTTGATTAGTATATGGCAAAAGGATTTTTTTAAATCTAGTCTATTTGGTGTTCTGTAAGCTTCTTGTACCTTCATAAAAATATTCTTCTTTCAGTTTGGAAAGTTTTCTCCTATAATTTTTTTGAATATATTTTCTGGGCCTTTAAGCTGGAATTCTTCTATTTCTACCCCTATTCTTTCTTCTTCTTCTTCTTCTTCTTCTTCTTCTTCTTCTTCTTCTTCTTCTTCTTCTTCTTCTTCTTCTTCTTCTTCTTCTTCTTCTAAAAAGAAGTAAATTCTTTTATAATTTTAAATGTTTATTTATTTCTTATGTATACAGTGTTCTGCCTGCATGTCAGAAGAGGGCACCAGATCTCTTTATGGGTGGTTGTAAGCCACCATATTGGTGGTGAGAATTGAACTCAGGGCCTCTGGAAGAGCAACCAGTGCTCTGTTAACCTCTGAGTCATCTCTCCAGCCCCTACTCCTATTATTCTTAGGTTTGGTCTTTCCATGGTGTCCCAGTGAAGGCATAAATCACAAACAATCCCACACCAGTTTGGAATTATGATTAATATGGTGGTATTTATTTAAAGGGGAAAAAACTTACAGATCATCGTCCCAGACAACAGCCCTCTGTGCAATCAGGAAGGAGTCTAGTCACTGGAAACAGAGCAGGAAGCAAAGAGAGAGAGAGAGAGGAGGGAAGTGGCCACTTTTTTAAAGAGAGAGACCACGCCCCAATGGGCTGGTATCTCAGTGGCTATTGGCTGGATATGCGGAAGGACTTCTCACAACATCCCAGAGTCCTGGATGTTTTGTGTTAAGAATTTGTTGGATTTTTTGTTTTCTTTGATCAATGTGTCTATTTCCTCTATAGTATCTTCAGCACCTGAGATTCTTTCTTCTACCTCTTGTATTTTGTTGGTTATACTTGTCTCTGTAGTTCCTGTTCTTTTACCAAGATTTTCCATATCCAGCCATCCCTCAGTTTGTGTTTTCTTTATTACCTCCTTTTCGGTCTTCAAGTCTTGAACTGTCTCCTTTACCTGTTTGATTGTTTTTTCTTGGATATCTTTGAGGGATTTATTAATTTCTTCTAACTTTTTGTTTGTCTTCTCTTCCATTTCTTATTTATTTATTTATTTGTTATATATACAATATTCTGTCTGTGTGTATGTCTGCAGGCCAGAAGAGGGCACCAGACCCCATTACAGATGGTTGTGAGCCTCCATGTGGTTGCCGGGAATTGAACTCAGGACCTTTGGAAGAGCAGGCAATGCTCTTAACCACTGAGCCATCTCTCCAGCCCTTCTCTTCCATTTCTTTAAGGGAGTTTTTTACTTCCTGTTTAAGGGTCTCCATCATTTTCATAAGGTTACATTCAAATTCAATTTCTTTTACTTTTTCTGGGTTAAGGTGTTCAAGTCTTCCTATTCCATGTCTGCTGGATTCTGGTGTTATAATGTTGCTTTTCAGGTTGTTGTAGGAATTCTTCCATTGGCGCCTGCCCATCTCTTCTTTCAAATGCGGCCAAGAGAGTCTTGGCATCTTGGTCCAATCTTTGTTGTGGCTGACTGTGTTCTTTGGGGTTTTCTTGGTTTGCTCTCTCTTAGGTCCCCTCAGCACTGGAGCTGGCTCTCAGATCCCCTCTGCCCTGAAGCAGGCTGTGCTGGTGGATCTAAGGATCCCGCAGATGAAAAGGAGTGCTTGGGGGCAAGATGGAATGGGGTAAATAAAGAAAACCAGTAGTGGGGGAGATGCCCCACTGGATGGCCAGACAAGTTTAGGGAATTGGAGCGGGCCTGGACTCCGTTCCCCAGGACCATCTGGCAGGGTAGCCACTCACTCACCACTCCAGATAAATCTCCTTAATACCACCAACCATTTTCTTAAGGATATAATAAGAAGAAAATAACTGGGTCTCAATATCCCATAAATGGATGTATCACAATAAGCATATAAGCCTTGTAGAATATAATCCATAGTATTAGCAAAAAAGTTATTAAAATTCCCAGTCGTAATGTTTTCTGCAATTATATAACTTTCAATTTTATGGATTTATTGATTTATAAAATACTTGTTATGAGGTTCGGTAAGTTGTTTTAGGTGTAATAATCTTTATTGTCCAGCAGGTGTCATGGTTGCAGAGTCGTGACTAATGGCAGCACAACCAGTGGCAGCAGGCACAATCAATCAAGCACCACTTTTGTTTCCCGCCTCAGTGCTGGTTAAATACTGAGAAATATGCTTTGCTTGACAAATTAAAAGCAATTTAATCAATTCTGTACAGAGAGCAAGAAACTCAGAACTCACAAGCAGGGAGCACAAACTGGAAGCTGTGCAAGTCCTCACGCAGCAGGGAACACAGCAGTGGGAGGGGGAAGGTGCAGGAGCTTGGGAAATTTCCAAAGTCGCCACATGCAGTAGCTCTGCTCTGGTGGCTGTTTTACAGAAACTGCTTAGTAGGTAAAAGCAAGCCAAGTGGGTGTGGTGGGAGACTTTCTGGGCTGTTGACAGGTTAGGCCTTTAAGCCGGTCCACCCAGTAGGTGTGAAGTTCAGATCCACGTGGGAGCTAGACGAAGATGGATGCTAAAGAGAAATCCCACACTAGCTCAGAATTGAGTATAATAGAGGGTTATTTATTTAGGGGTAGACTCACAGATCATAGTCCTCTGCTTGAATGAGGAAGAACAACTGAATCCCACAGCTGGAAGAGAGGGCAACCACGAGCTTTACATTGACATATATAAGAGGCCATGTCTAAGTGGGTGGATAAATTAAAAGCTACTATATGTAGGAATTCCTATAGCAAAAGCTGCATGAACTTTGCAAATTCCTATGCTGTCCCATGGACTTCTGGTCTTGCCAAGTGAGAATCCATTTCCACAGTGCCTTGTTCTGCAGAAACTCATTAGACAGGTAGCCATATGCTGATCTGAGTCTCTACTGCTCTCAGCAGTCTGTCTTGGTTAATGATATATATTGTTTTTCTATATAAATATGTATATATTTATGTAATATGAGAACTTTCTGGCTCTTGATATGGTAAGTTCTATTGTTTGGAGACCCAGACTGTTTGGAAATACATCCTCACTGTTAGAGTGAGTTTTACACTGTTATCCTAACAGAACCTAAGTAGGACAAAGGGGCCCTGACTTTAGTGTCTATGGATGGAGACTGGGGGTTACTTGGCACCTGAGGGTGAGGGGTTCCTGTTGTATCTGGAGATGCAGGAAGTCCCAATTTCCATGTGGTCTCCACATACAGCAGATGATAAATGACTTTATGACATTGTACTTTCATCTCCTTCCTCCCCATAGACAAAGTCTGGAGCTGTTGCCCAAAGGACTGGGAGCCATTTAATTCCCACTGCTACTTCATTTCCACTGAATCGGCATCTTGGAGCAAGAGTGAGGAGAAGTGCTCCAGCATGGGTGCTCATCTGATGGTGGTCCGCAGCCGGGAAGAGCAGGTGCATGCTGGGAGCCAGTGGGGCCTGGGCCCAGCCTGCTGTTTTACTAAGAGGGAGTTTTGTTGACATGGGTGTTGGTGCTGTGGCAGAAGGCTTGCCATCAGGTAGCTGGAAAGGTTGCTTCAGCCTTTGCATTCTACACCTTGCTCCCGCTGCAGTGAACTAAACAACCCACGGGAACCATGGCAACAGAAATGCAGTGCCTGAGGGTGGAGGGAAGGATGGAATGTTTCTGTTTGAAAGACCCGACTGTGATTTCAGCACTCTAAGACTTCCTGTAGTACCAGCCGCCTAACAGAGGAGGGCGCAGAGCTGACTAGGGAAAGGGGATCCAATCAGGAGAGTCAGAGCCAACCATCAGAAATGAAATATCTGCAGTTATGAATGGAGAATGATTTAATCTGTAAAATCCTGTCATGCACAACCTTCAAGAAGGGTGTTGGGGAAGAAAAGAGGGGAGTGAGTCTGAGACGAGAATTCATTATGGCCAGGGACAGAGATCATTTCTGGTGTCATGGAAATCAGGTCTATGAGTGATGACTTTGTGTCCTGGTCAGCCAGGGAAGTGGCACTCCCAGAGGTGGGGGCTCTTCCAGACCTTAATCCACTTTGTCTTCTCTTCTCTGTGTGACCAGAAAAGTTCACAGCATACCTCTAAAATGTGTAATTATTGTGTATTAATCCAAAAATTGAAAACTATTTAAGGGCCTAGAGACATCAACTAGGATTTGATGATTGTGTATTTGCATACATGCATCATATTGAATCTATAATTTTGTGTAGTTGAAATAATTTTTAAAAGATCTTATAAAAATTCTGTAACAGAAAAAGAAACCCTCAATCCAGGCTGAATGCTATGTCTTTCTTTCCTCTTAGGATTTCATCACTAAGATCCTGAACCGTAACACTGCTTATTTTATCGGGCTTTCAGATCCAGGACATCGACAGTGGCGATGGATTGATCAGACACCATACAATAAAAGTGCCACGTGAGTCTAGAGTTACCCAGAGGATTCCGGGTCCTGTGCCATGAGAAGGCTTTAGGGTGTTCCAGCTGTTGGTTATGAACCAAAACAACTCAGTCTTGGTGTGGGTGCTGGGGATGGAGTTACTTTTATCCCTGTTTACTCATCGCAGGAGTCCTGTGAGACACGGGTTGTTGACACTCCCAGGAGAGATGAGGAATTGAATTAGAAGAGTGTAGGATGTTAAGTACCCAGGGTGCCCAGCCAGGTGCTTCCAGATAGGGGGGTTTTATTGTGCTTTCAGTCACTCATCTATTTTCTTAAAAATGGGTTTTGTTTTTACTTTTATTTGTGTGTATAAATGTGTCTTTCTGTGAATACGCACCATGTGTATGTGGTTGTCTATGGAACTCATAAGAGGATGTTGAATCCCCTCCAGTTGGAGTCAAAGGAGGTATTACCATGCCAATATGAGTGTTGGGAACAGAACGCTCATGTGTTCTAGAAAAGCAGCAAGCATTCTTTTTTTTTTTTTTTTTTTTTTTTTGAGACAGGGTTTCTGTGTGGTTTTGGAGCCTGTCCTGGAACTAGCTCTTGAAGACCAGGCTGGTCTCGAACTCACAGAGATCAGCCTGCCTCTGCCTCCCGAGTGCTGGGATTAAAGGGCAGCAAGCATTCTTAATGTCTGTGCCATCTGTCCAGTTTTCATTAATATAGGAGGAGACTGTTTGTTGGTTCCTGGCTGCTCAAGCCTGAAATAATCATACAGAAATTGTATTAATTAAAACACTGCTTGGCCCATTAGCTCTACTTCTTATTGGTTAACACTTATATCTTAATTTAACCCATTTCTAGTAATCTCTGTATTGCCATATGGCTGTGGCTTACTGGGTAAAGTTTCCAGCATCTGTCTCCAGAGGGGCTACATGGCATCTCTCTGACTCTGCCTCCTTTCTCCCAGCATTCAGTTTAGTTTTCTTCCACCTACCTAAGTTCTGCCCTATCAACAGGCCAAGGCAGTTTTCTTTATTCATTAATGGTAATCATAGCACACAGACAGGAATCCCACATCACATTTATATCTTTATAATAAAAATTAATGTCAATATCATAACTGATTATTCCTCATGTATCAAAAACCTTCAGTTTGATATTGTTATGTGTCATATTTACAATTTATGTAAAACTCTAATATATTAGTATATGCCCATATTCTATCAGATTTCTCTGTGAGAAATAGGTAGTGATGTTATTGTCATTGTCAGATTTCAGAGAAGAAAAATAGGAATCCAGGATTTTAAATTATTTCTTTTAGTTGACAGAAATAAATAGATTATCTGGATATTTTAATTAGCTCTTCAGTTTCTCATTAAAACTGATGTAAAATGACAAAATAATTTTATTAAAACAGGAGAATAAGGAGAGACCCTTTCAGCACATAAATAGGCACATGGAATGATAGTCTCTGGCTGGGTACCAAGACCTAGGGATGAAGTAGCCTTGGGATGTATGCGGGAGAACAGTTAAGTAACAAGCTGAGAGAATATTAAATGTGGCGGGCCCTGTTTTCCAGGAAAAGGTCAGATATGGGTGGTGGAGAACGGTTGATTTGTCTATACTAGAATCTGATTTCCACAGATTCCAACCTCATCCCCAGGCTTGCTTACTCTTGCTTTCTCTTTCCCAGCATTACTGTGGAAACGCCTGATGCTCTTTCCTCCCTTGCAGGTTCTGGCACCCAGGTGAGCCTAACAATGACCACGAACAATGTGCTATAATAAATGTTTGGCATAATAATTGGGGCTGGAATGACATCTCTTGCAGTGCTAAACAGAAATCAGTTTGTCAGATGACGAAAATATACTTATAAATCAAGAATTCTTCATGGAGACTGCATTTTTATCCACCATTACAAAGACACTTGGAAAGTTCTTATGTGGAAGAGATGTCCACATAATTTTAGGTAGGCAGCCAACAGTTATACATATGATAATACTGGTCCACATATATACTTATTTATTGATCTATTCACTCATTACTCTTATATAATGAGAATATCTTATATGCCAGAGACTATACAGGATCCCCTCTGTGCATAGTGGAATCACATCAGCTTCTCTGTCTATTCTTAGATTCCTAGAGTCTTATTGATAACAGAATTGCATGATGTGGTCCCTCTACCCATCCCTCTCTCTATTGGACTCCTCTGTCTTTGGATTTATTGATGTATAATTGACAAATAAATCATGTATATTTACATTACACTATCTTGAGTTTACATGGAAATGCATTGGGCAATGACTACCACAATCGGGTTAACAACACCCTCTGTTACATAACACAGGTGCCTGGTGTGTGTGTGTGTGTGTGTGTGTGTGTGGTGTTAGGACATTTAAGATCTTAAGCAAGTTCAGACAGACAGGGTGACATTGTTACCTATTGTCACTTTGATCCCCAGTGCTTACTCATATTTCCTCTGGTGGTTTGTGCCCTTCCAACAGCATTTTTATGTCTCCCAATACCTGCACTACCAAGACCTCGGATCCAATGGCTAGTGTGTGGGGATACTATGGGTGGTGTGAGGCTGATGAGGGCCTCTAACAGGTGGCTGATTGCTGTTGTCCGTAGGACCGAACAGTGACAAGTACAGCTCACAGGTTTCTAGGCTAACTCATGGGAGTATCCCAGTGAGAAAAGCCGATTTGCAATATTGGGGATGCTTCTCTTCTGAATAGTCGCTGTCATTTCTGTAAAACCCTTGTGAAACCATCGCATTTCCCCCTTCATTCTGAAAGACCCAGCAGTGTACTAATCAGTTGTTGAGATTAATTGTTTTCTGTCCTGCAAACTGGATGACTTCCCCACACTGTGGGACCTGGTGTGAAAGTATTCACTCAGTCAAAGAAACCGTTGTTCTCGTATTCAAATCAACATAAAGCAAGCCTCCCCACAGTTAACTTTTATGGCAGAATGTTCAGCAGGAGAGGAGCCTTGCAAATAGACCACAGAAGAACCTCAAAAGATAGGCACTTAGGAGAGACATCATGTCTTCCCTAACTGATAAGCAGGACCAGGTGTCCCTGAATTCTCTAACAGCTGACTCAGGAGAGCGCAAGCCTACTGGCCTTTGCTCTACCCTAACACGCTATTAATATTTTGTACTTACCTTCACCTAGGTTTCATTCAACACAAAATCTTAGTCTAGGAAATCAACTGTTTGCGTCTTTGCTCTGAGAGATACAGAAAAAAAGCTTGAACCACTAAACCAGTCCCAGAGAAAGGAATTTCTTCACACCAGGGCATCAGGGGCTCTGAGTGCACCACTTAGCCTGGGGCTGGAAGTGGCAGTTTCTGATATTTACATAGGAGTAGCTTTTCACTTTGACCTAGTACAAAGAACTTCCTTTCCATTCAGCTAGCAAAAATTCCCCTGCAAATCAAACACCAGACCTTTCCTCAGTGGCTCCCCTTGGTTGTCATGGTTACCAAAGCCTTGTGTTCCCAGGGAACCAAGGGACATAGTGCAGGGGGGGCAACAGCAGTGCTGTTTTCCTTCCCTCTTTCTCTGCACTTACCAATTACAAACATCTTGCTTCATTAACCACACAAATGTAGTTAACATGCAAACTCCCTTTTCCCCTTTTAGAGATGGCTCAGTGGTGACGAGCACTGACTGCTCTTCCAGAGGACCCAGGTTCAATTTCCAACACCCATATGGCAGCTCACCATTGTCTGTAACTCCTGTTCCAAGGGATCTGACAATCTCACACCAATGCACATAAAATAAAAGTTAAATAAATCACAAAAATTATTTAAATTATTAAAAAAAGAAAAAAAACATAGCCCTTACCTTTCTTCACCCCCTTTGGTTAAGTCCAAACACTTAGCCTTGCCTCATCTGAGACATGAACAAGCCAAGGGGTGCCTGCTTTGTCACCCTTTCTGATTTTTGACCCTGTTAAATGTGTGCCTGTATCCTTGTTACTGCCTAAAGAATGATTAACTGTGTCTATGTGGGTATATAAACTGGAAACTTTGTGGGATCGAATGGACATTGAACAGCATCGAGGAAACGTAGCGAGAACTTTGGAAGAATAAATGGGATATGACGGAAACACTTACGTGAGCCGATGTGTTCCTTTTACCCTTGGATCCCTTTTATTCAGTTTTCATTTGCTATAGTGTTCCTTCTGGATCCTGAGAGGTTTAGGGGTCTAGCACCCCACATACATCTCCATTGCTAATCCTGAACTGTGTGGCATGAATCAACAGCAAATTTAAGAAGATGATAGCCAATCTTCTACTGGTACCTCCAGTGATTCTTGGTGTCTCACCTTGGTGCCTGCTGCATTAGGAACAGCCTCTGTCCTGTGGATGGACACTGAGGAGACTCACATGTCCCATGGAAGCCCGTACGCTGCTTACCTCTTTGGAAGCCCTTTCAACTTCTTATCGTGAATATTTTGAAATAGAAGTTAACTGGATGGGATCCTCAATACTCATACAACTACCATTGATATTAATGTCGTTGACAATTTGATAATTTGATATCTATATATGTATATGTATATACATAGATGCAAATGTTACTTGAGAGAACAACATTTGAAAGTTAGCTTGATATGTAACACTTCAGGCAATATTTCAGTATTATAGATGAAAATTCCTGTTCTGACTAGTTCCACAGCTGTTCAGGACCACAGAAACACACAGAGGCTTATGTTAATTATAAACTTTTTGGCGTATTTTAGTGAGGCTTATTATTAACTAGTTCTTACAACTTAAATTAACCCATAATTCTTTTTTAACTGGACAAAATGCAAATTTTATTAAATAGATTTAGTATATAGAATTCTTTGCTGTAGAGGCTGGAGAGATGGCTCAGAGGTTAAGAGCACTGCCTGCTCTTCCAGAGGTCCTGAGTTCAATTCCCAGCAACCACATGGTGGCTTACAGCCATCTGTAGTGAGATCTGGTGCCCTCTTCTGACCAGCAAGCATAAAAAAAAAACCAGAACACTGTATACATAATAAATAAATGAATCTTTAATAAATAAAAAAAGAATTCTTTGCTGTATTTCACATAAAAAGTTCATTTAAAGCAGGCTGGAGAGATGGCTCAGCGGTTAAGAGCATTGCCCGCTCTTCCAAAGGTCTTGAGTTCAATTCCCAGCAACCACATGGTGGCCCACAACCATCTGTAATGAGGTCTCTGGCTAACTGTATAAATAATAAATAAATAAATATTTTAAAAAAGTTCATTTAAAGCATCCACTATTTTTTCCTCATTTTAAAATTGATTTTATTGAGCTATACATTTTCTCTGCTCCCCCCTTCCTCTTCCCTTCCCTCCTACCCTCTCCTATGATCCCTATGCTCCCAATTTACTCAGGAGATCTTGTCTTTTCTACTTCCCATGTGTATTAGATCCATGTATATCTCTCTTAGGGTCCTCATTATTGTCTAGTTTCTCTGTGATTGTGATTTGTAGGCTGGCTTTCTTTGCTTTATGTCTAAATGCCACTTATGAGTGAATACATATAATATTTGTTTTCTGGGTCTGGGTTACCTCATTCAATATGATGTTTTCTACATCCATCTATTTTCCTGCAAATCTCAAGATGTCATTATTTTTCTCTGTTGTGTAGTACTCCATTCTGAAACATACCATATTTTCCTTATCCATTCATCAGTCAAGGGGAATTTAGGTTGTTTCTAAATTCTGGCTATGACAAACAATGCTGCTAAGAACATAATTGAGCACATGTCCTTGTGACATGATTGAGCATCCTTTGGGTATGTACCCAAAGTGGTATTGCTTGGTCTTGAGAAAGGTTGTTTCCTGATTTTCTGAGAAATCGCCACACTGACATCCAAAAGGGCTGTACCAGCTTGCATTCCCTCCAGCAATACAGAAGTGATCCCTTTACCCCACAATCTCTTCAGCATAAGTTGTCATTAGTGTTTTTGATCTTGACCATTCTTATAGGTGTAAAATGGAATTGCAGAGTTGTTTTGATTCACATTTTTCTGATGGCTAAGTGTGTTGAACATTTCCTTAAGTACCTTTCAGCCATTTTAGATTCCTCTGTTGAGAGTTCTCTGTTTAGATCTGTACCCCATATTTTATTGGATTATTTGTTCTTTTGATGACCAATTTCTTGAGTTCTTTGTATATTCTGGAGATCAGCCCTCTGTCTGATGTGGGGTTAGTGAAGATCTTTTCCCATTCTGTAGGCTGTCATTTTGTCTTGTTGACCATGCCATTTGCTTTACAGAAGCTTCTCAGTTTCATGAAGTCCCATTTATTAATTTTTTCTCTCAGTGTCTGTGCTGCTGGGGTTATATTTAGGAAGTGGTTCCCTGTGCCAATGCATTCAAGTGTACTTCCCACTTTCTCTTCTATGAGGTTCAATCTGGCTGACTTTATGTTGAGGTCTTTGATGCATTTGGACTTGAGTTTGGGCACGGTTATAGATTTGGGTCTATTTTTATTCTTCTACATGTTGATATCCAGTTATGCCAGCACCATTTGTTAAATATGCTTTATTTTTGCTATTTTATATTTTTTGCTTCTTTGTCAAAAATCAGGTGCTCATAGGTGTTTGGATTAATATCTGGGTCTTCAATTTGGTTCCATTGGTCCTCCTGTTTGTTTTTATGCCAATACCAAGCTGCCTTCTTTGCTGTAGCTCTGTAGTAGAGTTTGAAGTCAGGAATTGTGTTGCTTCCTGAGGTTGTTTTGTTGTACAGGATTGTTTTGGCAATCTTGAGTTTTTTGCCCTTCCATATGAAGTTGAGTACTGTTTTCTTGAGGTCTTTGAAGAATTTTTATGGAATTTTGATCGACATTGCATGGAATCTGTAGAGTTTTTTTTTTTTTTGTAAGATTGCCAATTTTACTATGTTAATTCTACCCACCCAAGAACATGGGAGGTATTTCCATTTTCTGGTGTCTTCTTCAATTTCTTTCTTCAAATATTTAAAGTTCTTGTGATACAGGTGTTCCACTTGTTTGGTTAGAGTTACTCTGAGATATTTTGTGCTATTTGTAGCTACTGTGAA